GCAGGAAGGAGGCTTATTCCCAGTCAGTGATGTGCGCAGAACCCAGTGACACCAGTGGAGCTACCTGGTTCCCCTCCTGGGAGCCTGTTCTCTGCCTCTCTGAACCAGGATCCTTCTGTTTTCTTTGACCTTTGACCTCTTGGCCTCATGGCAGACGCTATCAGACACTACTGTTTGAAATCCAAAGGAAAATGCTTTTAGACGTTTTATACAAAAGGGCCAATGGGAGCAGGGCATGCTGTCCCATGTGACCTGAGAAAGGAGAGGATACTGTATGTGATCCATTTAATGGGGGGGAACATCTGTGTGGGGAATTCTGTGGAAAATCACTGAAAAATCAGCTTTTTAGGTCTTTAGATGAAGGAGATCATTGGTGTGTTCAAACAGCTCAGAAATCTCAGCTTTTACTGCTTCTTACTGTTTGAAATCTACTGATCCAGCGATCTGAAACAAAGCAAAAACCAGATAAAAGCTTTTGGCTCTCAGGAGGTTAAACTAAAATACATTTTTTCAAAAAATGTCTGATTGAGGTTCTGGAAATCACAGATTGTTGACATTTTGTTGTGGCACAGTCATTACTATTATTATTATTATTATCATTATTATTATTATTATTATTATTATTATTATTATTATTATTGTTGTTGTTGTTGTTGTTGTCGTCTGTGTTTTCATGTTGACTCCTTGTTTTGATAAGGCTTTAGTATTGTTGTTTAATCTTTCCAGATTTTTGTTTGTTAGGTGGATGACTTGAAAGGAACCTCAAAATAAATAAAATGCATCAATGTTATTATTGTTGTTGTTATCATTTATATTTTATCATCAATATATAATTATTTTGTTTAAATTATCATTACCATTGTTGTTGATGTGATCATTTATATTTATTATTAATATATAATTATTTTTTGTTTTAATGATCATTTATATTTGTATTCTTTTGTTCAAATGACTTTTTTTATTTAAGTGACTTTTTGTATTATTATTACAATTGTTGTTGTGATCATTTGTATTTATATTTTATCATTAATATCTAATAAATTTTTGTTTGAATTATTATCATTGTTATTGTTGTATTATTTTTATCATTATTACTGTTGTGATTATTTCTGTGTTTCATTATTAATGATGACTGCTTTTTGTTGTTGCCGTGGCAGCAGCTCCTGCTGAGTCGGCGGTTCTCTGCCGCTCAGCTTTGATTCGGTGGCAGAAACCGAAGCAGCTCAGAACGTCCTGATAAAGCCGCTTTGTTCCTGGAGCCGCCGCATCAGGACCCGGAGCCGAGCAGCTCGTCTGAGGCCCGAACACAATAAGCAGATTTAAATATTCAGCTCAGCAGCGTCTGAGGCCTTTAAATGTTTAAATAACAGGATTTAAATATTCATCAAACCAGCCGGGAAGATCGAGTCTGACAGCATTTCTGAGTAAGCTCTGATCCAGATCCAGAGTCCTGATCCTGATCCTGATCCTGATCCTGATCCAGATCCAGATCCTGATACAGAGTCCAGATCCATATCCAAAGTCCAAAGTCCAAAGTCCAAAGTCCAAAGTCCAAAGTCCAAAGTCCAAAGTCCAGATCCAGATCCAGATCCAGATCCAGATCCAGATCCAGATCCAGATCCAGATCCAGATCCAGATCCGGAGTCCTGATCCATCGGGTCTAGTCTGGCTGGGGTGTGTGAGCTGGTCCAGGGCAGCAAAAGCAGCCGACCAGCTCCACCTGAACCAGAACCAGAACCAGAACCAGAACCAGAACCAGATGGGCTCTGCTTGCTGGGCCGAGTCAGATGGGAGTAGACAGCTGTCAGACCCGGTCGGCGTGGCAACCGCAGATGTTGTGATTAATTAATGAGCTGCAGCGTGCACACGGCCCGGTCTGGACCTCCGGGCCCAGCAGAGCCCAGCCTGGGACCTGATCCAGCCTGAGACCTGAAGCCTCCACTAACGCTGAACCGGTCCCAGCAGAAAGGCCCCGCCTCCACTCGGTCTCCCTACTGGCTCTGGTTCAGCATCAGGTTTGGTTCAGGTTCAGGTTCAGCATCAGGTTTGGTTCAGGTTCAGGTTCAGGTTTTGTTCATGTTCAGCATCTGGTTTTGTTCAGGTTCAGAATCAGGTTTTGTTCAGGTTCAGGTTTTGTTCAGGTTCAGGATCAGGATTTGTTCAGGTTCAGGATCAGGTTTTGTTCAGGTTCAGGATCAGGATCAAGTTTTGTTCAGGATCAGGATGAGGTTTTGTTCAGGTTCAGGATCAGGTTTTTTTCAGGTCTCTGTGTGACGTCATGGAGCCGCCAGCTTTCTCTGATGAGAAGAAACAAGCAGCAGAACCAGAACCTGAACCAAAACCCGAAACAGAACCAGAACTTCATCAGAACCAGAACCTGAACAAAACCTGATCCTGATGAGAAACCAGAACCTCATCAGAACCAGAACCAGCTCAGAACCAGAAACTGCAGATAAACCTCATCAGAACCAGCAGCAGAACCAGAGCCAGCTCAGAACCAGAACCAGAACCTGCAGATAAACCTCATCAGAACCAGAACCTTAACCAGAACCAGCTCAGAACCAGAACCCGGTGAGCTGAGGGCTGCTCAGCTCCACTTCCTGAGCGTCTGCTGTTTGTGGGTGAGGCAGAAAAGCTGCAGCAGCAGAAAAACCACATCACAGCTGCTTTCTTCCCTTTGTCTCCACAGACAATCAGGGAAAAGTTTACTACCCAGACAGGAAACGCGCTGAGTTCACCTTAAAAAACTCAACCAGTCTCAAAACTCCCTCCAGTCAGACCCATTTACAGCTCTGACCTCTGACCTGACCACATTCATGATGCGGAAAAAGTCAGAAAATGTCGGCAAACGGCAGCTCGAGTTCGGCCTTCCTGCATCTGGGCGGCTTCCCTCTGAGGCTGAGCCTCCACCCCAGCGCTCCAGGAGGGTTGGTTTCCTCTGTGCCCCCCCCTCTGCACCCCCCCTCTCCACTTCTCACATAAGGTTCCTATAAAGTGGCTGCGTGACGCATGCGCACTGGCAGCTCCGAGTAGCGTGTGTAGTAGTATTATTATTGTGAATGGGGGGCGGTGGAGGTGCTGCTCAGGGTGGGGTGGGGGGTGGGGGGGGTATTTTGGGTGTACAGTCACAAGAGCGACTCGACGGAGCCAGGAAGTAGACGGTGGACGCCTTCAAGTGCATTAAAAACCGTCGTAATTTCGATAACTGACAGCTGCGAGAGCGAAGTTTGACAAAGAGAAGCAGACTGGCGCTGTGCGGCTCAGCCGAAAGGGAGAAGATGCCTGTGCACACAGGGGCGTGCGTGATTTCATCCCGCGTGACAGTGCAGTCCGCTATTTGGAGCCTGTTTCTCTGCTTTTATTAGCAGCAGACAGAGAGTCCGAATTGGATCAATAAGTCAAATCTCAGCATTTCCTCCTTTAAACCATGCTGACAAACGCTGATTTGGACACAGGCCAGGAAAAAAAAAGACCCCACCACAAGAGCCCAAATCAGATGATGATTCATGGCTTTAATTAAAGACTCCAAACAGTCTCGTTTTGGTTGGAGCCGTAAATGATTTGCGTCTGATCCGTTTTTTTGCGCGCAAACCATCAGAGGAGGAGCCCCGGAAAGTTTCAGGTATAGACTCCAGAGCGCTCGTCGAAGAGGCAGAAAGAAAGAAAGAGGGAGGGAAGGAAGGAAGGAGGGAGGGGGGGAGCCTCACGGTCAAACGGAGCTTTATCTGCCGCGACGGGTCACTTCATCTGAGCCACTCGGAGCCGGAGGCAGCGCAGAGGAGACCATCCCCTCCAGCCCTGCCGCAGCCCAGCAGCAAGGCAGGAAGAGAGAGAGAGAGACGCCCAGACGCGGAAGAGAAGTCAGAGACACAGACGGAAAACACAGAGGCAGAAACAGAGACAGAGGCAGAGGCAGAGGCGCCGTTTCCAACTTTTGGCTCTCCGGATCGCCACGGGCGCACAGAGCCGCGGGAAGATGCCGCGCGTCGTCCCGGACCAGAGGAGCAAGTTTGAGAACGAGGAGTTTTTCCGCAAGTTGAGCAGGGAGTGCGAGGTGAGTGCGCGCCAGGAATCCGCCGTGTAGACGGCGGAAATAAAGAGAGAACCCAAAAGCTCCAGACTCACGTCTCGCAACTTTGGCCGTTTTAGAAAGAAAAGAGAAAGCAGCGAACGGAGATGCTTCAGAACCAGCTGTTTGCGCACCTTTTAACACTCTTTGTTATTGATCTTTCTCTCTTTTTTTAAGGTTAAATACTCAAATATTATTTTTTTTCTTCCGCACAGACACAATAAATAAAAAAGTTGGTCTGCGGGATGAGTGTAAATGTGGTCTGTTCAGATTCCACCGCGCATCGCGCGTCACACGGCTCCCTGAGAGGGTTTTCTGTGGCCAGTCAGACCCCAAAAACCCACGACCCCCCCCCCCCATCCTCTCCCCGCAGATTAAATACACCGGCTTCAGAGACCGGCCCCACGAGGAGCGACAGGCCCGTTTCCAGAACGCCTGCCGGGACGGACGCTCCGAGGTGGTGAGTACCTCTCCCCGCTTTGTCGCCTTTGGTCGGAGAGGAAACTGCTGGTGTCATGTGACACAAAGAGACGCGCGCGCGTGTGGATCCGTGTCGTGATGAGGATCTGCTCTCAGAATAAAAGGAGACGCCCGGCCGGGTGAGGGGTCACGGGACCGGGGCGGAAGCTGCTCTCGGCCCGGGGCGGCTCTCCACCAGGTGCCGGGTGCCCTGCTGCGCGTCCCGGGACCAGGAAGTGGAGGCCCTTATCAGACACGCGAACGCAGCAGGCTGAGCCCCGGCAGCCTTCTTCCCTCCCCTCATTGTCTGGGAGGGCCCAACATGTGGCCAGCTCCAGCTCCCAGGCCTCTGAACGAAGGCTGTAATTTGGGGGCCTGACATCAGCCACAAACAGCCCATCACGTCTGCAGGGATCCGACTCACCTGGTCAGACCAGAGCAGCCTTGGAGCTCCTGTCCGGAGCCTTCAGTTCTCTGTCAGATGATCAAACACTGCTGCAGTCATGTGGAGCTCCTTCTCTGGGGAGGATCCATCGCTCCATCACCGCTGCTTTTCAGTCTGGTGTCTGGCAGGACCGCGTATAGCTCGGTTTTAGCTTCATTTAGGCCATTTTGCTCTATTTTTGCAGCATTTTGGGTCATTTTTTGCATTGTTTTGGCCTTATTAGTGTATATTTGGTCATTTTAAGCCTTGTTTTTGCTTTTTGGTGTATTTTTCCAGTCATTTTAAGTCTAGGCTTTGCTTTTTTGGTGTATTAAAAATCTCAACGGAGGGGGGATCCATCCCTCCATTCTGGTTCCTCTGGCAGAGCTCAGCCTTTCCTCCCTGTTTCTGCTCAGATAACGTCCACATGCTGCTTCCTGGTTTCAGTCTGTTTCTGACCCACTGTGGGAACTCTGGAGGTTCAGCTGCTGTTAAGTAACTGACAGGAACACATTTAGATCTATTTTAGCTTTGTTTTGGTAATTTAATTACATTTCTGCTCTGTTTTGGTCCTCTGCTTTTGGCTTTTTTCTGGTCTTTTTAGCTGTTTTTTGCTGTGTATTTGGTCATTTATTATTGCCGTCATTCGCCCCCCTTCATGGAGAGCATTTCTGATGAGGCCACCAGGAGATGGTCAGCTGGAGGTCCAGATGCAGCTCTCAGCTCCTGTTCAGCTCTCTGCTGGATCTGCTCCTCTTTCTGAAGGACCTCACTTTCAGATCCTCTTCATCTGCTGGATTAGAGAGTTTTTCAGGCCCAGCTCTTCTTCTTCTGTCCTCCACTGGTCCAGTTTTCTCAAATGTCACTGCTTTAATTGCAGACGCTGGCTCATCCCTTGAGTTAGGGGCCTTTTTCTGACATAAGTGGCCTAACAAAGATTAAGGACTAAAAATGAGTAAAAAAGTAGAAAATGTCTGAACAAAAACTCACAATGACCTAAAAATCCTGGATGAGAACCTTTAAAGGACGTCTGGCTGCTTTGAGGGAAAATAGAATGAAATTTAAGGTGGCTGAAGACTTTTTAAACGAACCTTTATCCTTATAATTTCATATTGTGTCCTAATTAAACTGCTGCTCGGCTGAGCTGGACACAACCCTGGCTCATCCCTTGAGTTAGGGGCCTTTTTTTCTGCCTAAATGACTCAGAATTCAGAGGCTGAACAGAGAAAAAACACATTCAAGCTGCAGGAAGCTGCTCAGAGACTATTTGGAGGTTAAAGGAGAGAAGCAGATCAGGGCTTTATTTGTAGAGTTTTAGGTGTTTATCTGGCGTTTAACGTTTTATTAAACCATCTTTTAATCACGTGACCGTAAAGGACGTGAAGGTGACTCTTCCCGCCTTTGCTGAGGCGGAAGCTGGAAGAAATCTGGAAGCTACTGAGGGGGAATATCAGATTGCAAAATGGCCTCCTGAGAGCTCCTGATAGCAGAAAGTATCAGCGGGTCCTGGGCAGTGAGCGGCCAGGCCAGTTCTCCGGGATGAAGGGAGCAGTAGCTCCTTCATCCTGGAGGTATTTTTCACAAACCCGCTGGCATCGGGGGGGGGGGGGGGGGGGGGGGGGGGGGGGGGCTGGCGGCTTGTTTTACCATCTTTTAGCGGGACGCGCTGAGTCTGCCTGTCTGTCTGTATTTATAAGCCTCCTCTGCAGAGAATTGATGGCCGTGGTTTTAATAGTTGGGCGGCAGCTGTGACATCAGCTCTCTGATTTATCCATCGGCCCGACGCCTCTGCGGATCTCCGGCTATTTTCACGGGCCGCGGCCACCAATATCAGACACGGGAGGCCCGGGAACGGGACCCGTTTTGTGGATAGGGTTTCTCCTCAGACCCATGCAAAAGCCTCTGAGTCAGAGCAGCAAAGCTGGAGGATCCTCAGCCCTCCACGGGTCCCAGAACTCAGAACCAGGACCAGAAATCTTTCAATTGGCCAAATCTACGATTTAGATAACAAATAGAATAACAACAAAGAAGTAAATGATAAGTAAGTACAATATGTTCAATTAGGAAGTGACAGTTATTTGTTCAGAAGTGAATACAGGATGGCAGGAAGAGGAAGTCCATCCTGATCTGCTGTTCTTTCTGGGTCTGTAGAGGTGGGCTGAGACGCCTTTTTTTTAGAGGGAGGAGGAAAAAAGAGACTGGATTTGATTCCAGAGTGAGACAGAAGCAGCAGGTTGAAGCTTTTCCACTCCGGCTGGAGCTGACGGCTGTGATCACCAGCAGAAGTCTGCTGTTTGGGAGCAGAAAACGAAGCCTTCAGAGTGGACTAAGAGTCCCCGAACAGGCTCAGAGGTCTTTGTTTTCTCCATCAGAAGTGAATGAAGGCCGTTTTCAGGAACCCAGCGGCTGCTTTTTCTCTCATTTATTATAATTAGGATTAATTTCTCTGCTCCTCCCAGTTTGTGTATCAGGAGAAAGTTTGATGGATTCCTGCTTTGTGCGTTTCTTCCATCCAGAATGACGAATTGTCAGCTGTAGAAATGTTCAGTTATCAAAGCAGTGATATCTTTAACCTCCTTAGAGCCAAAGCTTTTATCTGGTTTCTGCTTTGTTGCAGATCTCTGGATCAGTTGGAGCTAATGGGTTTAATAACTAGACTTTGTTCTGGTACAGGTAGTAATTCTTCATGTAGGCACAGTGGGTTTGTCTTTAGATTTAAAATATTTGTCTATAGATTGAATTAAATGTTTTTGCTATTCGGTTTCTGAGGGTCCAAATGACTTATTTACAACATTTTAACTCCACAATAAGAACATGATTGGTGTAAAATGTCTAAAAGCATTTCACTGAACGCTCAGTATTGATCTGATTAATGGGACAATAATTCAAAGTAAATTATCTGCAGCTCATCAGACATGAGTCGCTATTGATTTTTCCTCCTTTTACTCCCTTTGTTCCTTTCCTCCCCTCTTCCCCTTTTTTTTTCTACAAACACTTTCTATTGGCACCAGTTGAAATCGTCTCAGTTGGGGCCGTTTTTCTGCCTGAACTCCTTGGTTTCCCCCCCTCTCTGCGTCCCTTCCCCTCCGTTTCCTGCCAGCGGTAGCAGGCAGCAGCAAATTGGAGTCAGATGCTTGTAATCCAACACTGGGACTCGGGCAGAAATGATGACTCGGTATTCTGGGAGCCTCCTCCTCCTCTTCCTCCTCCTCCTCCCTCCGTCCTCCTCTTCCTCTCCACTGATGAGGGACACATTGGACAGGCTGCATAATTCATAATGCTTCCAGCTGGAGTCGCTTCCCTAATGCCTTTAGCATCGATCCGTCTCGGGGAGCGCACGTGCGCGCGCGCACGTGGAGAAACAAACAAGACATTTTTCTAACCTGATTTTCTGCCCGGCTGTAATTCATCGCTTTCCGAGTGCTGCTCAGAAATGCTCTCTATTGATTTTCATTTTATTTGCCGCTGGATGTTTGAAGTTAGAGGCAGAGGCCGTTTGTCCGGATCCAAAGGGGCGTGAGGAGATGCTCGCTCAGAGGAGGAGCAGCGCTCAGCCTCCGACCACTTCTGTGACACTTT